GAAGATGAGAAGTTTTCTTTTCAAAGATCTTCTTCCTGTTTCCCTCTGGGCTCTCGAATGCCCGGTGGGAACACAGGTTTTGCCAAAAATATAGGGATTGCACTAATACAAAAAGGGAAGAAGCAGAAATGCAGATTTTAAATGAAGACACAAAAGGCTGTCATTTTTTTCCAGCATAAAGATCAACCCACGATGGGAGGCAATATTCACAAAGCAAGTGAACCAAACAGGGATATTGGCACATGAGACTTGAACATGGCTCAAGAGCAGACAGTCCAGTGGGCTGCCAGGAACGTTAACTGTGGGACGGTGGGACAATGACCCTTGTTTCTTGGATTTTCTTCTGCTATATTTAGACCTAACAAATAAATAACATATTTGTGCTGTATGCATGAACGTCATTCATTATATTCTTCATATACAACTGTAGTATTTTAGAAACAACGTGATAATATTAGTTACAGAAAAACTCCTTATAAAGAAGTTCTGCCTCTCTTTGGTGGAAGTTCCTGTGGCTCTACCATTGGAGATAAACCTGATAGCACTTTACAAAGCTCGTCTTGCAAGAAAGTCTTAGAGATTATCTTATTTAAAACAAGTTTTAGATTAAATGTCAGAGAAGAGAAAAGAGGGAGAGTTATTCCTTTCCCAGAGCAATCTTCTACAGGAGAGTTTTAAGCTTCGTGCAGTATTAGTCTGCATACATTCTGTGGCACCTGCCATACATATATTATATTCAAACTGAAAACACTGAGAATTGCAGATAGCACTTATACTTGTTACAGGTCTGGAGCAGCAGCCTGAGCTCAGTCCCAAAGGCTGGCATTTCACTTAGAGGCTGGGAATCGGGAGAACAGCAGTCGTGGCTTTTATGTTCTGCAACAGCCTCATTAGCTTAAATGAAGGCCTGGCACAACCGCCAGCCTTGTCACGTTGTGGCTCATGAGAATATGAGCCCTCACAAACATTTTGTGGCCATAAGGGAGCAAGCAAGTTACGGGAGCTTTTTTAAAGTCTTTTTTTGCAAAACGCATTCAGGAATACCTTAATTCCTTTTCTTAACGAAGAAGAAAAACACTTCAAGTTCCAAGTGTATGCCTCTTACTTGCAAATAAATATCTAGAAAGAAATCACTTGCAAGGCTACAGCTCTGTTTCCGTGAGGCTGTGCTGAACTTGAGCGCGCTCAGCCACCCTGAGGACCAGGAACGTAACTGATGTGCACATGTATAACCACAGGCTTCCAAGGGCTATGGCAAGCGGAAAGAAACTCGCTCTCAGTGGCAACCCTAATCTTGGCGTATTCACAACCAAAGTAGTGATGGTGAAGGGCTGCTGGAATTGCAAACGCCGGTGGCCAGTGGCAGCTGGGCATATTTGCTCCTTCGCCTCTCTGCCTCCGTCCCTGTCCATCCCTGCCCTGCTGCGATCCCTGCGGCTGCCTTCTCTCCAGGACCGTGCTCCACGTTACAGCAAAAAACCCCACCTCCGCCTACTGGCTCGGGGAAGCTTGCAGGTGCCTATGGGTAAAAGCTTTGCAGAGCACAAATTCCTGGATGGGTTAAATCTAGTTGCTCTCAGACATCTGTTCCTGGCAGTCCATTTCCCTTTGCAAACAAACCTTAACAATCTTAAATAAATCTTGACAAATCACCTTTTTGTTGCACGGTCAACGACATCTTGGCCTGTTTGCTCCTTCACACTTGGGCCTCTTCAACTCTTTCTGACTATTTTCCTCTTCCGGTGGGGATGACCTCTGGGAAACATTAAAATATAAGTCAGCAGTGATGGGAATGAAAGGCATGCAGAGATGTGCCCAGTGGGATCCAGATCCCGTGTCCTAATTACTTGTAGAGCCATTACAGTTTCAACAACGTAATTTTTCAGCTTGTCTTTAACCCACATGGGCAAGAAACAGGAGCAGCACTAACATTTTCTCTCCCAATTGTATATGAAGGCAGAGTTTATGGCACTGCAAATCACATGCGTGTGTCTTTAGCATCTCCTATTAGCGATTTTGCAAATCCAGCCATTTCTTTTAGGTAATTCCAAGGCTTACAAAATAATAAGAAAATACAATAATAGGAAAAAAGCCACTTAACACCAACCTGCAAAGTCCATTGGATATCGGCCGCACGACTGCTCCTACTTCCCTTTCAACATGATGGTGCCATGCTTTAACGAGCATTTTAAAGACAGATGATGCAGCCGAGCAGTGGTCAAACTTACCCGGGGACTCCTGGGTCCCCATGGCTGGATCCGAGCCCCGCTGGGGCCAAAGGTCTGCCCTCCAAAATTGCCCTATGCCTGGGAAAAGAATGGCAGCCTCTTAGGGAAGGATGCACCCAGTGAATACAAATCCCCGCGGCCCAGTGCGGTGGGCTGGCGTAATCCAGCAGTGGCACCAGGTGAAGTCCTCCCTGCCCCTAAGCTGGTGGATGGTGGCGACCCTGAGCAGGCCAGCGAGGCTTACGAGGGGGTCGTGGGACACATCAAGGAGTAGCTCTGAAATGCTACGGCTGGCTGGATCTCAGAGCCCAGCCACCGGGCTGACCGGTGGGGACAGCCGCAGCAGCTCTTCCCGGGCCCACGGGAATTACCCCATTGGCACCGTCTGATAATGTGCATGGATATTTGCGTGTTGGTATATGCCAAGAGTGAGGATCTGGAGAAAGAAACCAGGAGAGGAGGAGAGAGAGACTGTGTGGTTTGCCCCAAGGTCAGAAAGCTGTCAAAATCCTCAAGTGAAGCGATCAATAGCAATTTTAAGCAGTTGGGCCAGCCACCTTTTTTTTTTTTTTTTTAAGTCTGCTTATGAGAATGGCTTTTGAATATTTATGTCTGGATCGCTTATTTGGAAGAAGTTCCAGCTGCAGCTGCTTCCGCTGAAGTGACACCAGCCTGGGCTGCCGTCTCCTAGAGACCTTAAGTTTGCACTCTAAGAGTGTGGAAACTTTTTCTTTTTAAAGGCTTGATTTGCCACACGGATTCAAAGCTGCCATGATTATGAAGAGTAATGGGATTTATTAGTGGTTTAAAGACCGGTGTAAGAAAATAGACAGACAGAACCGCAGCGAACAGGACAGGGATGGTGATCCTGGAGAAAGGGCCTTTGGCAATTGCCATGCTGGCTACGGCAGGAGGACTTGGAAGCCCGACTGCTGCTGTGAGAAGATAAGCTCTGCGTGGGCAATACCTACATCTTCAAAACTGAAACTGAAAAGAACAGAAACTCCACATTTATGCGAATAATTTTGCAAAGTTACCGCTTCCATCTGGCTCTGTCAGCAATAGGAAGACGGGTTTCCTGGGAATTAAACAACTGGAGCCAATACTTTCATACTTCACTGACCTCAGATAACAAGAGACTATCTTCATTAATGAGCGCAGGAGAAATACCTGAAGCTTTTGGCTGAAAGATACTGCATAACTTTTTTTTTCCAACAGCTTTTTGTATGTTTCTGTACGCTTGTTGAAAGAGAGAACTACTTGTGTAGCTCTGCTGTGCCCCCCCTCCCCCCCAAGACAAAGCTGGAGAAAGGTGACACAAAGAAATACCTTTGGCTGTTATTCTGAATCAGGTTTGGATTTATTTATACAGCAGTTTTAAAGTCTTGTTGCTCAGACTGGCAATTCAGTATATAAAAAGCTGCACACAATTCAAAATGACAGAAAATCACACGTATGTTCTTTTGCAGAATTATCTAGTCAGGCAATTAGACACTAACAAGGTATATATGTGAGGCGGCTGAGGTTAAGGCTGTATGTATGGTAAGGTTTGACAAATTTTTATTTTTATATTACTCTTAAAACAACATACAATTGAAAACGTGTTGCCCAGAGATAATGAGGTTTGCATTTAAAAACCAAAACAAGTCCCAGGGCACAAATAGCCTTGGACTTCTGAAACCCTCTGGGATCAATTCAAAACAGTCTTTCACATAGAAAAAAACCCTTTCCTACCAAACACAAACAAATAAATGAAGCCTATTTTGACAATGTCATTTTTGTGCTATCAACCCGACGTCATCGCAGCCTCAAATACAATGCATTTCTGTTGCTAATTGTTTACTATTTCAGAAACGCATCTCATCCAAAAAAAGCCAACATGCACAGCACATCCACTACTGTAACAGCATAAGCAAAGAATAACTCTCTGTAAACATCAGAAAAGCGGAGATTTTTCTCAGGTGACAGTATTGCTCTACCAAAATCTAAGCAATTTTTTTCTGGATCAAACATCACGGTAGTTCAATATTTTGTCTTGAAGACAGATGCAAAGAAGTTAGCAAGTTTTCATGAAATATCTTTACTGCTCTGAATTGTTCCTTGGTAACACAGCAGACGGTATATATATATGTATATATATATGTTTTGTTCTTGTCATTAATGCAAAATATTCCTCCAAATTCCTCTTAAATATCCTAATATAGCATTTGCCTGCCCCATGATGGGCTTCGTTTTATTGGCTTCACTGTGAATTGCCTTCCACACCTATCTGACATTACAGAAGAAGGGGAGCTTACTCTCAAACAGGGATAATTTTTAGCAAATGTATTAATAAATGCTCTCTACATCATCAGCCCAAAAGATAAGCACTTCAATATCTAGGCTGATAGGCTTTTTGCATCCAGGAAAATCTCCCCAACGTTTGGTTACAAAACAGAGTTTTCTGATGTGCTTCAGGTTGATATGCCATTACACTATCTGGCAGCACAGAATAGCAATCGAATCCATTAATTGTGCTGGGAGCTGCTTACCAGAAATGTTACCTAGCAATTATAGTGAGAATTTTCTGTGGAATAAATTCTGTTTCTTAAAATGAGATTCTGAAAAAAAACCACTAACATTTCTGCAGAAATGCTTTACAGCTTGTTCAAATGGGACAAGCTCATCTTTTCACATGAACGCTTACAGAGCTTGTAATTTACTGCATTACTGTTTATTTTAATGACTGTTGTAGGCAATGACTTGGCATTGGTTAGAGGAGATTAATTTGTGTATTAATGCATCTCGAAAGTTCACTCAATTTACACAAAGTAATGAAAAGCTTAAATTGAAACTCTCAACAATTCCAGTTTCCCCCTCACCGAAGTTTGCACCACATACTTCATCAAGTTCCTCAAGAGGCTGCTTCAGAGCAAAAAAATATTAAACCGATCAGAGAAATTGTGTTCCAAATGTGTATTCAAGGCTTTATGAATGAGACCTGCCTATCCCACGTACCGAGGTGCAATGACTGTAAAATTATGTGAAGCCACATTGGCATGATGCAGCTGTTGGAGCTCCCTTGTTAACCCTCCTCCGGAGCAGCACAGACCCTCCATTCAAACATGCCTTTGGAGTAGGGTGGGGTGGAAGACCATGATGAGGGCAGAGAGGGGAGGAAGCCAACAAGAAGAGTATCTCAGCTTACTTGGATGGCAAGAGCTGGCAGTCAGCGACATCTGACAACTGGTCCTGAATTTGGAGGAGCGACTAAAGAACAAAAATGAAAACCAAGAGCATAACAAAGAAACTTTAATGCAAGCAGCCCTTGTTTGTGCAAACACTCCCTGTTAAAGACTCTCTGGATGAGCAAAGACTTCTCAACGTGTCTGTGACATTCGTTCTTTAGGTGTAAGGCAACATCTGATACTAAATCACTTTGTCATGGCAGTAGGGTTTCCAAAACTGGGCATGAGGATCATTTTTTGTGAACCACAATTTAAGTATGATGCTCATTCTGTCATTGCTCTAGTTGCCTAAATAAAACAACCACAGTTAAATATATTTAATGTTACCTTTCCATTTAAGAAATAGTGGAATTGCTACAGAGATATTGTTTAACCTACAGTTGCAGAAGAGCTACTTTTGATCAAAAGGGGGAAGGAGACAACTCTGAAAGTAATAACCAACTGAGAAATTGTTTGCTGAGACCCACTAACAAAGGTCTGCTTGAAAGGAGAAAAATAAAAAGGTCTGCATTCAAATCCTCCTCTCCCCTTGAAACAAAGCCTCAGAAACTCAAAACTGAGTGATTTAAAAACCAAAAAGAATCCCCAAAAACCTAAGACAAAACCAGATCCTTCTTCCCACTAAAGGCAGCTGATTTTTCAAAACACAAAACAAATTGACTATTAAAAAATGTGCTGTCTATATGTTAAATATATTGTACATATGCATTCACTTGTGACACTGAAAATCCCCCAAGATTTTTCAGCACACGGATACTGTGCCTTCGGCTCACGCACATATGCAGTACGGCCAAAAGCATCGTCTTCTGTGACTTGTTGGGTCATTGCTCTGTTCATATAAATGAACATACAGTCTGTCACAGTAGTTTTTCTCCCAAATTACAGTGAACCAGATGGTATTTAATATGTAAAATGTGTGACACTTTCAAAAATGCTGCTAGGGTTTGTGGTATAAAACTATGTACACGGATAGACCATATTTTGACCCTTTCCAATAACTCCTTTGAAAGGATTCAAATGCTACTTGAAAGAGGAAGACTGACTGAAGCCCAAATATTAACACAACTTTCACTTCAGGTGCTACACATGCACACACACAAAAGCTAAAGAACTGTAAGGATGGATGTAGATTTTTAAATAGCAAATGTATTTCCTTTTTGAGACAAAAGAGGCATTCTGCTCTGCAAAATAACTGACAAAGTAAGGTTTATTATTGTTTGATTTTCACTTTGCATTTGCTTAAGTGAGATGGGTTTGCTGATGGATGAGCCCTGCAAATCGATTAGACTCAGATTAGATTTTCTCTTCTTGTAGACCACCACTTTACAATTAAATCTGCAAATCTTGGGGTTTTATTACCTCTTCTGCTAATACTATCTCTCCCTGCTATAGTACAGAATTAATACTGCACATATACAAACCCATATTTGTGTAGACACACCTTTTCAGAAATACAAGTCATTCTTGGGGGTGAAAGGTGTCATTTTAGTTTACACTCCCCAGCAGAAACTTCAGTCAAGAAGTGTCCTGCCCACAAGCCTAATGGGGATACTTCCATGGCCATCAGGCCAGGCTCAGCAAACAGAACTTAAGCATGGCAGGTGAAACGAAGAAACTGTCAACCCTACTGCAAGATTGGTTATAAAGCTCCTTAAAAATACTTATTTTAATTAATTTCATGCTAACAAAAAAAAATGACTGTTTCAAAGTAGCAAGTTTACACTATTATTTTTGTTATCCAGCATGTGCCTTTATCAGTTTATTCTTAATATGGATGTTTCTTCCTAATATTTACAGAAAAGGAAAAATAGTTCTAAAACAATAAGATATTTATTTTGCACACAAATATTTACAGAAACATACTTAAAAAATTAAGTATTTGAAATTTAACTGACTTCAAAAAAGCTTCAAGCTTTTATGTTATAAAAACATATTGCCTTTACTATGCTCAAATTTAGTATTCAGATCTCTGGATTTTCTTATCAGGGCTTTCTTTTGTGCTTCATCAAATCGATTGACTTTGAGATCCTGGTCTCGGTCAAAAGGCCTTCTTTCTTGAGGTTTCTTTTCTTCAGATGCTTTGCTTTTCAGCTTTTTATGATGTATGTCCATGAGAGATTCTGACCTCCTCGACTCCTGGAAAAGTGGGAGGAAGGAGGAGGGAAAAAAATATTATAAAATGTCAACAAGATATAGAAAACACAAATGATCAAATGGGCCAAGAATCAGTAAGGCTAAGAATTCCAAAAAACTTAGTACTTGGAAAACAGAATGCTAAATTTAATTCTGCACATACAGCGCAGAATAGTTCTGAAAAGCACAGGCCATTTTGTCTATGTGGAGTTAGACACTGATAATTCACTTCCACTGATGTTAAAGATACCATATTATTTTGAAATCTCCACATATAGCAGCAATAAAAATAATGTGAAAGAAACATAAAGATACTCTGCCATGATTAGCAGAAACATAAGCTAAGAAAGGCAGGAACAAACGAGACAACCTTTTGATCTTATTCTCATGCATAGTTACGTCCTTAATTTGTCCTCTTAAATTTTCAGTATTTATCTGTTGCTGGTCCACAATACAAGGTCACAGGTGTGAACTAAAGAACGCACTGAAGCATTTTGCCAGGTCAAGGACTCAGTTGTGTTTATAAAAGAGCAAGATCCAGCCTAAAACTGATGTAAAACTTGCACTGACTTCACACAGGCGCAGGATTATGTGGCCCCTCCTTTACTCTGATGAAGTGCATTTCTGCATCTCTCTGCAGTAAATTCTCCAACTCTCAAATCATTGCAAACCTGCCAAAAGGCCAGTCCAAACCAATTCTCTCATCAGAAAGACGATGAGCAGGTCCATTTGCTCTTATCTAGCAACAGAGGACCTTTATTCTGAAAGATTCACTTCCCATCACTCCAAGTACAACTACTTATTTCACCAGACACAGCAATAATAAAGCATATATGACATTAAAAAAAAAAAAAAAAAGATTCCCATGGAAAACAGAAAACGGAGAACACTTTTTCCTGGTGCAACTGCATTGATGCAGACAGAATTGCACCAGAGAATAAATCTGGCACTAGCACTGCAGGAATTAAAAGTAAGAAACCACTTTAAGAATTAAAGCTCTTTTCTGAGAAAATATCCTCAATAAAAGTTAACAGAGGAAGAAAAAGGAAAGAAGAGACACAAAAACTTTAATAGAAAAGAAAACAAATAGAAGAAAGCCAATACAAAACAAGCCAAGAAACGATGTTCCTAAACAAAATGCCTTCTGCAATTTTGGGATAGAAGTCTGTTAACCTTAAAAACAATAAAAAGGCATGAGTGTGTAAATATACGTGTGTGTGTGTGTGTGTGTGTGTAAATATACGTGTGTGTGTGTGTGTGTGTGTGCGTGCGCATGTATATTTTATTCTGGCAATGGAACAGAACAAATATGTTATACTACATCCATAATGGCAGTGCAAACAGAAAATATAGAGGAAATTTAAGGTAGTATACTAATAGATCTGGATTTGCAAGCCCTGTAAATCAAGAGAGACATATGATTTAATGAACTAAAATAAATTATCAAAAGTGCCAGATAAACTTCAATCTTGTAATATAAGCCAAGGCTGCGATTTTCCAAGTTAATTATACTCTCAGGAGACCTGATTGTCTTCTGCAAGACTTCAAACCATAAATCAGGGGAGAACAGGAAGGAGCAGCTGTAAGGCAGGTAATAGCCCACATGCACTGGAGGATGGGGTGGACAGAGAGAAAGGTGAAAGGGAATTTGATGTAGAGTTCAATTTTTTTTTGGTTGGTGATCAACATCTGTCTGTGAAAATTAATTGTCTCTGCAAAGACTGAGAAAAACTTCATTTAATTATGCTGTTGTAATGAGGCAGTTTGTTACACCATTGCTCTGCTTAGTCCATTAAGCTTTTTTTTTTAGGGTGAATCTATATTTCATCCTAAAAATTAAATCTTTAGTACCGTTTTCTTCTTCCTGGGATGCTGGTAATTCAGTGAAGCAAGCTAATGTTTGAATCGAGGTTGCCTATTCACAGCAACAAAGTCCTAATGAGAGGATGATTTAAGTAAAACAGCAACTGAAACTGCTATAGGAGAATGCATAAAAAACTATGCATACAAAAAAACAACTCTAATACCCTGCTTTCAGCAGCAGCTTAAGGACCAAATCCTGCTCTTGTTGAAGTCAAAGAGAAATGTTCTAATGACTTAAACAGCAGTAAGTTTGGGCCCTAAAAGGGAAGAATGTACTGGTATCACCATGGAAACCAGCAGTGCTAGAAATGAGAATCAGAAAGAAAAGAGTGAAGAATTAAAGGAAATTCGTGAAGAGGATGCCTTCTGCTATTACACTTACATTGTATGAAGTCACCTGCTCAACAAGTCTCTTGTCTCTCCCAGACAATACAATTTCTTCATCATCCTTGCTGGTTGACTTTTTTGTCTCTTCTCTTTCCTGATGAGCAGAAGCAAATTACGTGTTATAGTTATCAGAATGGCTAAAGTAAATAGCATGGAAATCTATAGTTACTTTAATTAAATATGAAGGATAGAGGCCACCAGGTATTTCTGGTTTTCCTTGATAAGAGAAGAGACTGGACACAATTCAATTCACACATTGAATTGGAAATTCAATGAGCTGATACAGAGTAACAGGCTACTGCAAAAGAAAGACAGAAAGACAGAAAGAGAGAGAGAGAGAGAGAAAATAACAGAATAGAAATGTTAGTTAAAACGGTTATTTCCTCTCCTTTAGCCTGAATTCACGGGTTTTGGTAATATAAAGAGAAACCTGAAAAAAGCTTTATCATTGAACAGCTCAGTGGATCTTTAGTTTGTTTTCACAGAATACTAACAACATGTACACTGCCTGCATGTACATGAATGAATAAACGCTCACTTTGGCTTTTCTCTCTCTGTCCGCTGGAGTATCTGTCCAAATGGATCTATCGCCTGATTTTTCATCGGCTCTTCTCTTGAATGTTCTTGGGCCAAACCCAAAGCTTTTCAGTTCAGGTGGAAGCTCTGTCATCCACGATTCCCTGGTAACTTGCTTGGGTTCATCCTTTACAAAAGAAATAAAGTGAAAAAAATAGAAAAGAAGCAAATAAACTAAACTTGCCACCTGAATCTATTAACTTCCAGCAGAAGTTATGGATTTTTCTTCGTCTTAACAACAATCACAACCACTTAGCATCCGAAGTAAAACTGCAGCTTGGGTCACATAGAAAAACTGCCAGGCAAGGAAAAATACAAATACATCCACTAAAAAAATATTAGAAAAGAAAAATATTCAACTCACACTGTCTGCTGAAGTAAGTTTTTCTTTCATTCTCTGAGCTCTGCGTTCAAATTCTTTCGTTACATCAGATTCCACTGGTCCTTTTGCAGGCATTGGGCCTATAAGGTTGTCTTCCTCTTCACTACTATCTGTTACCTTCCAAAAATAAAATATTTCTCTCAACCACAGCGTTAAGACATTCAAGAAATGCTTTAGCTTCCTAGAATCAGAACGATTCTGTTTAGAAGAGCATATAAATCTTATACAATGCACGTGATAATCACACAACAAAAGCATAGTTTACAACTCCATATTAGACCTGTTCTAGCAATTTAACACGAATATTTAGTCCCTACGTTTCCAGAACCAGGACTTCTAGTCCCTACGTTTCCAGAACCAGGACTTCTTGTCCCCATGAAAAGAACACTAGTAAACACAGAAGCAGTACACAACAGACTATCGCTACTTTATGCTGCTCTACGTGTGTCGCTGTAGCCTCAGTGGGTAGGTAGATTAGAAACAGACGGGCATTCAACTTTGGTAATTTGGGCTTCATAATCACCAGTAAGGTTTGGATGCACCTCCATAACAAGGCTCACAGTTTCACACAGCAAGAGGAACTCCTGTCAACAGAGTTCAGATTCCGCATGGACACTAGGAAGATTAATAAGGAAGCCAGGGTACAGGTGGCACACATGGAACGACATCCTGGGTATAGTTGCTGCTAGTCTAATCTCTTGGTCTTGTCATTCACTTTAATCCCTTTTCACATTGCATTTTCAACAGTTACGTTATGTGGAGAACTGCTGAAAAAGTTAAGTTTGAAAGGGACTAGATATCAAGAAAACTTTCTGCATACAGGGTACTGTATAGAAGGCTCACAGTACTGTGCAGAGCACAGTAGAAATGGATAGAATGCAGAAAAGGGGGACACTGAGCGCTACCCTGGAAACAAGGCTAGGGAGCCCAACATCTACAAAAGTGAAAAGACAGCCTACAGCCTGAACGTGGGAGATAAAGCAATGGGAGTAGGACGATATCGAGGTTGCAGATTCAGGAAGCACAGAGCATTGAGAATGTGATGGCAAAGGTCTTTCATGCAACAGGTAGAGGAAAGGGGAGATTTGCTTCCATTAGGCTGAACTTTGTTTGTTGGGTGGACACCCTAACACCAGATGTGACATTACCAGAGAGGAGAACAAGAGTGCTGAGTAGTGCAAAAACAAAATTACGAGCCTTCTGTGTAAAATAAGGCACCTGAGGCAAAGGTGACGCAGGGCCTTCAGTAGAGAATAGGAGAATAAAGTACAGAATCCACCTAAGGGGAGCATGAAAATGGAGGACAAGAGAAAAGAGGAAAGCAGTAAAGGTACTTTGCAACACTGAGTTCAAGCCTTAATAATTAAGGCTGCTCACAGCTGGCTGCTCACCCCTGTGGAGGGATTTGGGCTAAGGAAGTCAGAAGACAGTAGGTGTGAGGTTAGTCACTTCATTATTTTGTGTGCTGTCTGCTACAGAAACTGGTATGCCTTCACGACCGCTCCAACCTAGCCAAGCCAGCTGACACTACGTGCTTTTAGGCGTTGGCAGAGGTAAGAACAGTGGAGAAGCAAACTTGGAGGTAGAAAACAGCTGGGTATGACTGTGGACCACAAGGTAGAAGAAGAGGCTTAACAAATTTAAAAGCTGTATCCAATCTGAAAGGCTGAGGTAGGTAAGAAATAACTGGTCACTTATAAACACTAATAATGCAAGTAGATAATACCAGCTTCTGTTGTCTTTTTGCTCAGAAACATTTACAGATTCAAACTTCCACATTAAACTACCACTATTTTAACATTTAGAGGATGAGGTGTCCCCCTTCTCTCCTCCCCTGCCTTTTTTTTTTCTTTTTGAATGAACAGGTGGTGAACGGGAAGAACTAACTTGAAAAAGCAGCCCAATGAAACAATTCCCTCTCTCCACATACAAAAAAAAATGCAAAGATATTAGGCTTTCACAATAAATTGTCAAGCAGTGGAGGATGAAAGACAAAAGAAATTCCATGCTGGGTTTTAATTGAAGAAGCATGTCTCATTGCCTTTCTCATTAGCATTAAGTTCAAGTCACTCCATTACCACCTAGCTCAAACAAGATGTAATTTAACAAACATCAAAAAATAACGCCCCTCTGCTTGAAGGAAAAATCAATATAAAGTGAAGAGTCAAAAGGGAATAAGCTGCCTCTAAAGACGTACGGAGATATCAAATAATTAAATAATACTAAAACAAAGTAAGTAAACCCAAACAAATTATTCTATCAGATTCAAAGGTAAAAAAAAAAATAGGAGATTATCAGGGAGAGAAAAAAAAATTAAAATAAAATAAAGTTACATGTAACCAAGTTGATGTCAGAGATGAAGATCTGTATAAGAAAAAGATTCTTTTTTTTTGCTGTTTGCAAAATATATAAGCAGCCCAGTTTTGACATTCCTGCCTCAAGACATTTGTCATTATGATAAATTGCTTGGTTGTTATTTGGAGTTATAACATGACGAGCTTCTTAAAAATGTCAGACAATCATTCTTCATGATAGATTATGACAACACTTGCTGTAGGAGGCGGGAGAATGATATGCATTGCAAGTACTAATCAAAAAAGAAAAGTTGCAGAGCAGCTTTTGTCTGATCCCTTCCTAGCACGTCCTATAGTACCTGGGAGTTAAAAATCAAAAAATGTAAATATTTTAGAAATAAACAGAATAACTACAGAAACAAATGATAATTTTTACAAGGCATTAATATTTAGTTTATCATATCCTGAGAGTGATTCGGCTGCCTAACATTGGTAGCTAGTGTCATTTTGGATGTCCAGGGTATCGTGCCTGGCTTAGACATGCTGCTGCTCTGGAAGGATGCAAGTTTCTCTCAGATGCTTTGCCCTATCTGCCAGCCCTTTGCAGACGACTCATATCCCACAGAAAGCTACTGGATGCCCATGTTTAGGGAGCTGAATCCTCCCCATACTTCCAGCAGCACGTGTGTCACACAACTTACTCGTGAATGTTCTTTAGTAGCACAAGTATTATTTCGTAACTAGGTACTAGGTTGTAGGACTTCTACCCAGTATGTACATAACCTGATCAAGACAGTCACACAACACAAACTGAAAGGTGTGTCAGTGCCACTGTCCCTGATCCTGCTGTGCCTTACTCCAAGGTACAGATCTCATCTTGAAAAGATCATGAGTGACACTGTAGCATCATTCTTGACTGGATTCTTTTGAATAAATGTATTTAACACCTGCACTAACAAGCATGTTAAGAAGGTGAAGTTTTGTTAAATACTCAGTTCCTTCCCCCCTCAGTTAAAGGCGTAAAAGCTTGAATTATAGCTAACTATTCATTCTAATAGGTTGCATTACTGCTTTAAAACCTTTACAATTTTGAACCTTGCCAAGATGTTCACTTGGGAAGAACATGTCATAAACATGTCATACCAAAAGAAAGAATGGAAGAACATCACGGAGAAGTACTCTGCAATTTCAGACGCCTAGCTCTCTTGTGTACAGCCTGCAACATCCATTTAACAGCAAAATCACAACAAACCAGACCAGCCGTTTTCTTTCTTAAACTTATTTATGCTCCAGTATTTGACTCAAGCAAAAATGAGCCAGACACTTTCTGGTCTAAAATTAGACTGCCATGCTAAAAAGTATGTCTAGTAGACTTTTTCAGGCTCCTACTTGTTTAAGCATTTCAGATAGCTTGTTCTAAAACAAGAGATGTCTGTTTTCACAAACCTGGGTACAGAATTCTGATGAAACAGAAGGTCCTATGGAATATTTGTTATTCCCAGCATCCTCTGAAGGTTTCCTAAAGCCAGGTGGTAATGCAGGACCTATAACGGGCCTCAAGGGGAAAAAAAGTGTTTTTAAGTGAAAAAGGGAAGTAACGTAACCAACAGCGACAGTAAATTATATGACAGCCTTCTACTGTTTGGTGCAGCAACAATTTTTAAATAGATTAACATAAAAGTGCTGAGGAGAAGTATGATTCCCTTCCTTCCCTGTGCCAAGCGTGCCCCCTCTGCGCACATCACAGAAATCATTGAATTCATAAGAACAGTCTATCCCATTTTCAAGGAAGAGAGCTGTAGATAGCTGGGAAGCAAGAAAACTGGGAAAGCTGGAGCATGTGGTCAAGAAAACTCATTTATTTGCTTCCAAGCTTCCTTCATCAGATTCAAGAGCAATGAAAGGTAAAAGGTCAAATATATCTTACTCCTCTAACAACAACAAAGGCAATTTTGCTATTCTTGCCCTGTACCACAATTTCACAGTCCTTCAGTAAAAAAAAAAAAAAAAAAAAAAATCAGTGAACTGCTCTGATTTTAAATGTTTCTTTCTCCTTGGGGTAGGAAAGACAGGAGAGGAAAGGTTTTGAAATCCCAGGTAACTTCACTGACTTGGTTTATATAGCAACTCTGCAAGGAGTATGACAAGTCGATTGGTTCCAGGGACAGAGAAAGGCAAGGATCTCTTTTCAGTGGTAAGGATAGTTTAAAGTGTGCATTTTACAGTACTCACCTTACAGTATTGAAAAGACTCTTGCATATAAGATCCTCTTTTAATAGTCCACCATACTCTTTAAAGGCTAATAAAAGCTAATAAAAATCTGAAAAATCATCATCTGAAGAAATATCTAAGTGAGAGCATCCTTAGAGTGTATCAGACAGAGACTTTATTGCGATCTCCAGACTCCAGGCTTTTGGGCAATCAAATGTAACACAACATTAATTGAATTATTCTAATTATGTTATTCTGTTAAATCCAGTATAATCTAATCAGCACAGCCCTGCAGTAGTGATGTTTTTGTCAGGATTTGAAGGGCAAAAATAAAAAAGAAGGAAGTCTTGCCAGAAAGATACCAGTAGAGAGAATTTAGCTAACCACAGAGAGGCACAAGCAATACATGTGAGCTCAGGCCAAGACAGGGGCACTGGTGAGGTTTCAAACCCAGGCAAGAAGTCTGGGATAAATCTGAAACTCCACTTCCACCTAGCTGCTGGCAGAGAGAAGCAGCCTTTACTTTCCTCCCTTCCTTTCCAACTACTTTCTTGTTAAAACCATGTTTTAGGTTCCCAGGATAAACTAAAGAGTTCGAATGTAAACCCAAACAGATAAGGCAAAAAGAATCCTTTATTTTAGTGTACAAGCACCTTTATTTTGTGGGCAAAGAGATTTACATCAAACTATAAATAAAGTTTTCTACTGATACACATCAGATTATCTACATTGTGGGCTATATCTGTGCAACTTGTGAAAAAGAGTAGGTCTAAAAGACCCTGCCTTGCTTCCGTCGCAGCTCAAAGGCTCTTCCAAGGATCAGAAAAATGGTTCCTATACTCATCCTTCCCACGCTCTTAATTCTATGCTTTTGTTCCGCATGAATAACTCTGTTGCTCAGGTCTTTCCTCAGCAGCACATAGCTGACATGATTCTTGACAGTTTCTTGGATGTCCAAAGGCTCTCTGACCAGAGGAAGTGAATCCAAATGAAACCCTGTTAAATGCACTTTGCTGCTCTAGGCAAGCTTCAGCACCTATGCACATATACACTTAGGAAAGGAAAACCTTTTAAGGAATGAAGCTTTCATTTAACGCATACTGGATTTCACATATGGCAAGGAAAGCTTTCCTGTTGTTGGACTGTAAGTCCTGACTAATACAGCATGTGCATTTCAGCATTCTTCTGATGTTTAATTTCAGAATTTCAAGGTAAACGTTCATTCTTCACCTTGATGTGTAAATATTTCCGGAAAACGTAGGAGTATTGCACTTCTGCCTAACTCTGGCAAAAAGCAATATTCTTTCCAAAGTTGAAGGAAATCTGTTCATATAGACATGTTATGCTGGAATGATTTAAGCAATTTTTAAAAAGCTATAAATTGCCACGTGAGCTGCTCTTAATTATGATTATTTGCTTTGACAAGCCAGGAAAAGATGTAACTGAGAACAAAAGCTTTTCTGAAAGAACAAGTATGTCACACAGAGCTCACAAATACTATGTCCATACATTGAAACAAACAGCCTTACATTCGTTTCAGTTATTCATGGCTAGATTGCCAGCTGGCCATCTGCTCAATGCTTGGGGCAATGCAGTGGGGAGACAGTTTGCAGCATCGTATCTACGCCCTGCAGAGCTCAGCGTAACTACACTGCCAGGTGTATGGGGGTGGAAGATAGACAAGGCTCTTCCCACACACTGCACCTTTCTCCACCTATTCAGGAATATGGGCCGTGTGCAAAACAGCTCTGTACAATCCGCTTTTTCAGTGCGTGCCAGGCACAGTCATACGATGAGCTAAGACAAAGGAACTACCAGGAGCCTTTTACTGTTTTAATCCCTCATGCCCGTGCACAACACTAGACAGACTCTCGCCCTCTGAATTTAAGTGCAAGTAATCCACCGTTTTGGAAATAAACTGCTACGTAGAAATAAGAGTTGCATGAACGTTCAGTTGGATGAACGTTCAAAAGACTAAGATTACATGGGAGATGGGAGAGCACTCATATTACTGCTCATCTCTCTAATCTTCAGACTGCAAGTTACCTTTTCTCTTCCCTTCACAATTTGCCACAACAGTATTCACGTCAAAATCAAGAAGGCAAGAAGGCTACCTCACCTAATACCAAAGGCTACAGGCATATATTTATGATGCTTTATTAGAGATTATATTATTTTTTAGTGATTTCCCACATCTGGTGTTGAGCACAGCTCAACAACAAATTGGCTCACCTTCCTAGAACTGACAACTCATATTAAACAGGTAGGTATTGATTTTTTCTATCTATCAGCTCCCTACTGCTCTGAGAAAGGGAATAGGGATCATGAGACTCGACCACCTTTCATTAATGAGCCTTCCCTTGGAAGCAGCGATTTCAGTATGGATTACCATTTCACCTTGCACAAGAAAGTGCAAAGACTGATGCAAAGACCAGGAGGCTGTGAGACATGGTTAAATTATGAATGGAATTCGTAACTAGTTTTCTTCTATAGGTATTTTATAATTGTGTGCAATCAAATGGAAAGCTTTCTGAGAGGGGCTATAAATAACACTTATTTGGTTAGACCTGATAACTTGGTTTCTCAAAACCTATAGGATTCAGATTCGTTTTCTACCTGTAGATACGTAAACAATAATCCTCAGTACATTAGCAAAGCAAAAACTCCAACACTCTGCATTGTATTATGTCACACAAAACCTAACCGCCCTATTGCCTCCCCCGCCGGAATGAACTACACAAATATGGGTCCTTGTATCCATCGTTTGTTTTTCCCCGCACTCTTTTTGAGATATCATAAGAAAAAGAAGTTTTCAAAACTTTGACTTTCAAAATATAAATCAGAAATTTTTTTCTTTTTCTCTCCAACCGTCCAAACGGTACTAGGAAGCCCCTGCATTCTGTTTCAAGGGAATGCTGTTCTTGTTCTCAAAATGCGGAGTAAAGAATTCTAATCACCTGACTCTCAAGTGCACAACTGAACTGTTCTGTAATAGTGCTGCACAATATTTTATCTAGAATAATTGTGTTATAAGGAAATGATCCTGAGTATTACTCTATTTTAATTACCTCTCTGGAGAATCATCCTGTTTTTTAAAACCAGGAGGAAGAGCAGGTCCAAAAAATCCATCATCATCTTCCTGAATTCTTTTTAGTTTTCTGCAAATAAAAAGATTTCACTTAATAATTATGTTGACATAGAAGGCAATTATCTACATTTTAAAAAGGAAACCCCCCCCTCCCCAAATGATTTCAGACAGTCTTATGTACTAAATATCTTGCTGTTTCCAAGGAAACAGTGCAAAAGGATTCAAAATAATTTGGAGCAATTAAAAATTTGGTAGCATAAGCCTCAGTCCAAAAATGCTCTGACATTTAAAAAAACATTAAGAGTGCTTTTGCTGTAGAAAGAAGAGTAGTATAACGTTGAAATATCATTTTCTATGCACAAAGTAATTTTATATTCAGCACACTTTCTACATTTTTGTACAGTGCCTGCATTTTGACTAGCAGTTTTCCCAGTCCAATTCTACTAGGACTGAAAAATTGGTGAATAAGACAACAGGAGAAAAGTCATTAATATGTACTCCAACACTCATTAAGCCAGTGTAATGCCCTTCAAGACACACACAAGTTCTTAACTGTGAGTAATCAATCCCACTAGATTAGGATACATAAAGACTCATGTTATTTGCTAAACAGTTCAATTTTTTCATCATAGTTAACCAAATACATAAATTCATGTCCATGAATATTTCTTATGACCTCGGTGCAAAGCAGTACATCACATACAGGGCCAAATTCAAGTAACATATATCTATACGCATTGTAAGTGGTGATTGTCCTCAGCATACACAGTCAAAACATTAAGGAATTTTTCACTCTAATTGGAGAGCGAAACTGAAAGATGAACTTATACAAATCAGATTGCCCTGCATAACCTAGTTCCACCTTCAGGAGTTACCCAGGTCAGCTGAGCACTCTTGGCCCAGAAGAACATGAGGAACACGTCATTACATTTTACTCGGGTACGGTGCTTGCCTTCTTATTTGTGTGATATTGTCTCTTTCTCCTGTTTTACAGAGACACACCTCAATTGCAATTTCTGCATAATTTTGTGATGTAAATGAATGAAAGACCTAAGAATATACTAACTTGGGTGTTGGAACACCTTCTGACTCCTCTTCGGAATCTCTATCTTCCTCTCTGGGAAGAGGAAGAGACTCTGAGTCGTCATCACTCTCAGGTGTTTCTGAGCTACAGCTGCTTTTGTAGCCTGGAGGCAGCGCTGGTCCTGCAACTGAACACCCAGCGTTATTTGGGATATTTTATTAAACATTTCAAATGACTGTTATCCATCTTGGTATTCCCAAAACACAAAGCTACCTGGAATTCAATCATTACTATGTCTAGCATTTAGAGAAGATATCTAAACAAACTCCTAGTTTTTAGATGATTTTATGCAGCAACATACTGTAACAAACCGCCCCAGTACAGTACTGTAGTACATTATTAATACATTATTACCTTAGTTACCTTCTGTACATTAGTTATCTTCTGGCACAGGAGTAGAAAGGCCTGTTTTGTCTAACAACTGATTTAAAAGGTATATGGTATAGATTGGTATATTAAAAAGAAACAATTATATTAATCAAAGCATTTCAAGCTTGTTACTGAAGAATCACATCATTTGTACATGCGCAGAATGGGAGGCCATAGATTAGTGCAATGTAACTGCCATCCTGCTTTAGAAATGGTTTAGCTGAACTGGAAATAACCTTAATTGCTAAATGTGAATAGCGAGCACAGACTTAAATACTCTGCTGAATAAGGGATGATTTTGGCATTCAGACCTCAAAGAATCACCGCTGTCAGAAGACCTAGGTGGTAGATGGAACTCTCCTCATATGCGATCTGCTTTTCACTCTGAGTTACAAGGGATCCTAGCAAAGGAAAAATTCAGACTAATGCGGCTAAAGGGCACGAGCTGGCTCTGGCATTGTCCTCACCAGCATGTACAGTTATGGAATGACTCACTCGGATATAGTACCGCATATATTGAGTCCAGAAGTAGTTTAGCCATATTCATGCGGCACTGAACCTAATAATAAAAGCCCCCCAAACAAGAAACTTGATACAGATACCCTCACAGCACAGACCCAGCTGGAGTAAAGAAATACCAGCAATGGTCCCAAGCTAAGAAGACTTTCCAGATCCAGGTTAGAGCATCCAGAGATAGCACAGTTTATACAAAGCATGAATAACCTACCCATTTAATAGGTTTGATTGTACTGGTGATTTAATTTTCTGCAACACAGATGCAATGCCTCCTTTTAATTTTTCAAACACTGATTCCAAGAGTGGACAGGACAGGAAGACGTTTGGTGAGAAAAAGGCATTGTTAACTTCATGAATAGTCAAGGGTTAGAAGAAAAGATGCGGTGCAATAAAATCACATAAATGAAGGGTAACAGGAAATTACATCTCCAGTTAAAGAACTATGACCTTTTTGATGGTGTAAAATAAACTAGAGTTAGATTAAAAGTTCCCTTTTTAGCTGACAAGGACTATGCAGAAATTGAGACCTTTAAATGAGCTTTATGAAGCTTTTATTTGCCCTTCATGTAAGACACAGAACAAGGGCAAGTTATAAAGCCCACTATCTGCCACTTATTTTGTCTTCTGTTTTAATGAGAAGGACTTCAGCCAGGACACGCAAATTCATTTCAGCCCCAAGGAGGAAAAAAAGAAAAAAAAATATGTAAAAGTAAGTTCAAGATGAGTGGGAACCAACAGAGGAATGATGAATAGGAGAGCAGGCCACAGCCAGGAAGCTTCCCATTTTGGTCTGAGAATCACCATCACATATAAGGTGATTTTTGTTTTTATTTATTTATTTTTTAATCAACCACTTTCTCTCACCCACTGGTACCCTGATATCCTGAAAGAGGAATTTCATTTGCTCTGAATGCAGAGAGGATAAGAAAAAAGGATCTGGGGTGAAAGGAGCAACCTGAGATGCCGTCTGATGAGTCTGATACTGCAGAGGAAGAGAGAAATTGGGAGTGGCAATGTGAGCTGGAAAGACCAAGTAAAAGCAAAACTATTTAAGAAAGCTTCTGTGGGACCAGTCTCCTTTCTCTAGCATCAGTCTACATGTTTTCTGTCTCATGATTCCTTCATACTACTCCCTCCATTATGCTGGTACAATTGCTTGTGTTGGCTGTGCAATAAATTGGATCAGGGAACTTATCAGGCATAAAAACAACACTGCAAAAAACCAGCACTCCCCTGAAAGAACTGTTTGTTCACGGAATTACAGCCTGAGCAGGACAGCCAGAAACAAAAGATGGACAGATAGGGACTGGTTCAGCAAGAAAAGCTGGCATTTAAAGCTTGGGGGATTGAGGAAGGGTCACGTGGACATGGTGAAAGAAATGGAGGAGAAAAAGACTGAAAGCTGGCCACTCAAGAGGACGGGCATTGAAAACGAATACGGAAATGGGGACTGATCGAGTCTAATAATCAGCATGGGCAACGATGGAGATACCAATTTGTAAAAAAGGAATAGAGGGGAGGGCTAGAAATTGCTGAGCATAGATGGAGGGGACAAAGAAAGAGAACGGTAAAGAGGGAGACTGAGATTTAATACGAAGTCTGCGAAAGAAACTCCCTAGATGCCACAGGAGAGCGTAAAGATACAGGTCAAAGGAGGAACTGAGGACGGCTCAGAGTGCCAGGAAACTAAAAGCAAGGAGCTGAGGAAGAGGCACGGATTTAGCAAACAACAGCAAAGCGAGGAAATAACTAGAACGCAGAGCAACCTCAGAGCAGGAGAATGGGATAAAAAAAAGTGAGGAGAAAACTCTGGGGATGAAGATATAAAGGAAACAGAGCCAACAGGACACGGCAGGTGAGACTGAGGTGACTTTTTCACAGCTGCTAGAAGGGGCAGTCCTATTACCGTTGCTCTGACTTGTCTTTTCCCTTGAACTGGCTCTGGTGCCCCTCCAACTTAACATTCACAAGCCAGTGGAGAACTACTTTCTTTTTTTGCTAGGTTAACCTCTGTTGTATTTAGTGAGTTCAAGCAACTTGCCATGACACCAGAAAGGCACCGGAAATCTGCTACCTTCAGCAGCAGTGAGCTGTTAGATCGACTCAGGCATATCACACACAGGCATGTCTACTTCAATAAATTGGGCCTCATCACTGTAATGGACAAAACCGCCCTCTGCCTTCCTGCCCTCCTCTCATTATTTGCAGCCATTTCCTAGCATTTCTTTTGTGCTGGTACAAGGAAGAGGATGGTACGGATGTAGCGGATGAATGGGCCAAAGGGAGCGTGACTCCTTTGTCAGCAGCATTGACTTAGGTCAGCTTCAAAGAATCATCGTGAGATGAAGAATCAGGTGATGAGTACGTCCCACAGACAGGGCAATGAAAAACTGAAGAAGGCAAGGTAGAGGGAATCAAATTTAGCAGGGATGAGTCTGTCCCTGTAACGTCTTCTCCCCTCTAGGTTCTGATAAAGATCCCAAGGGTTGAGTACCATCAGTTTTCTGATGCCGGCAAAGGACATTGATATCCTGTCGCAAGGTCTGTTTGAGCTCCCTCTAGTGCTGATCAACGGGGCAGACAACAACTAGTCCTTTCCCTTGGTTACCCCATTATCTTTAGAGGCAGAGATGCACAAGACGAATGAACCCAGATTCTAACCCTGCTCATGATTCAGAGCTTGAAACACCACATGCCAAAAATAATGTGGTGCCGCAAGCTGCAACTACTACATCTTCATTTTTTTTAATAAGAAAAAGGCAAGACATTACATGCTAAAAATTACAACCATTAACGGAGCTGTATCCTATCCATATAAAGATAACAAAAATGTAAATTTAGGAATAGCTCAACAAAAATGTTTTGTTTCATTTACTACATGTAATATGGTAATGTCATGTCCAAGATGGATGATATTAACAAACAGTTATCTTTAGTCTAACATTTTATAATACTGAATGAAAACTTTTTGATGCAATACTCAGAAGGGGTGCCCAAAGTTCTACTTTGTTGCTAGGAGGTGAACACTAAGAAAGAAGCCTAAAACAAAAGTGGTTTTAGTGGCAAACAAAGAGCAGCTCAAATATCAGAGAGACCACAAGAAAAAAAAAAAAGAAAATGTAGGAAAAAAACCCCTGTTTAGCTCTGCTTAAAAGAGTCAGAAGATCAAGTATCTCTTAGAATACAAGAGGCAATATTTATTGAACATGTTTTAGGCCCATTCTGTCTCAAGACCCACTAAGCATCATACCGCGCAGAAGATGCGTAGGTACACAGCAGCCCCCCACATGATTTGACCCTCCTTTTGCAGGGTTTCACCTGGAGCTCTGCTTCTGCATAACAAAGCACGTTACGGCCAAGTACTTGCACCTCTTCTTCCCGCTACTCTTCCCCCCTTCACGCTGCAGCCATCTATCTCCTGTGTTCAGCAGATAAAACTATTTATGGAGACAGACTGTGATTGAGATCCAGGAACTGGTCAAATGTAAAAGTTGCAAATTTTTTTCCTGTTTATTTATTTATTTTAAGGTAAATCAATTCCTTCATCCACTTCACAGAGAAATACTCAGGTAGCTGTGCCAGCATAACTATGACACCTACGTCCACAGGGACGAAACGGGTTGAACGTCTTATATCAGATATTGCCAAAACACCTGGCATCATGAAACCATGTCCTAATGATAATTTAAAATTATTTTGTTAAATGGATTCAAACACAATTTGTAACAGGCGTCAGTACGTCAATTAACAGAAGGTACACAGGTGATCAGCACAAATATGTCACAAGTAAGAAAGACTGCACCAGCTTGAATAATCACGTAGAGACTCGTGTTCAGCACGCATCCAAGTCACAGTCAAGCAGCGGGCAGTCTGGTGCTGTACCTCCTGGACCTCGGTGTTGCTATGGTGTCAGTGAAGGCAAGCAGCTTGGCTCTCTCTTCCTATCGCTCCCTCTACTGGATTAAAAATTGAGAAGAGCAGATGAACACAGCAAACTTTTCCCAGTCAGAGCTGCTGTGTTTTGAAAAACCAAATGGCCCCTGAAACACAGCCAAAAACTGAACATACACAACAGTGGTCAGAGCTCTGATCGAGGATATACACTCTCCAGGCTCAAATCGCTACCTTATAGATATTATTGATTCAGAAAATAAGAGTTGCAGCGAGAGAAACTGAGCCCAGCAGCAGAAGAGCCAATAACCTGGCTGGCCTCAGGTGGGATAGAAAAATCACCTCCTACGTGACTGCTGTTAACGTGAGAAACCTCAGCAGACCAGGCACCACAACCTCACTGCTTCTGATCACAACTCACAGTCCTACACCCTGAGAGAGGCTGACCGAATTTTCATGGAATATTTTGGTTTGACAAAGGAAAAGATGTTGCAAGAACTTAACTGCCAACACCACTTTTTTTTTCCTCCTCTCCACTAACCTTACAACCTGAGGCTACTGTAGAACAACACATCACCAAAAAGCACATAAGGGAACCGAGAAACAAAGATAAAAAACCAAATTAGTTCAGCCATTCTTTAAAACACACTTCAGACGCCTTCATAGGTGCACGATCCAGTCACACGAATTCCTTCCTAACGAAGCCGCTATAAAAACGACCCGCGCAGGTTAGCTTCCTCCAGGTGTCACAGTGCTGCAGGTGGAGCCTTAAAACCTCCCCCCTCCTCCACCGCAGACGTGTCGCGGCTGTCACACAACCCGCTCCC